GTATGGGCAAATTTATTATTATTGCAAATTTACATTAGTAAAATATCAACAATTAGTATTTTTTGTTTTAAAAATTAATTAAGTTAGTTTGAATGATTAGCTAAAATAAAGAGTGTGGTTGGAAAAACACAACAGCTAAAGTAATTAGGTAAAATAAAGAGTGTACTTTTTTCGTACTTTAGCTAGTGAAAAATAGAGAGTGTGTTTGGAGTTGCTCATGTGCCATACAAGTGGACATGGGTCTGTAGTTGTGTGTGGCACATCAATCCCTGTTATGTGTTTAATGAGATTTATTTTAGACTCTATTTTAATAATTTAAATCGTTTATTTTTTAAAATAAATCGAATATAACTTGTTTTCAAAAACTTAAGTTGATTTGACATCAATCATCCTTTTATCGAGTTACATTTGTATATGAAAAAATGAATGATAAATATAATTTAAAATATAAAACTGAATATAAATATAATTCAATAAAAAAAATTACTAATATCTAATTAACTTAATTTTTTATAACTATATTTTATTTAATATATCTTAAAAAAGCAAATAATTTAAATTATCAAAAAAAACCTTATCCACCAAACCCATTTCCCATACCAGTAGTGCTTGAATTGAAGTCTTAACCGCCAATAAAGATAAAAAATTATGGAAAGTTAGTTGGGATTATGCTTCGTATGGAAACATGTTATTTTAATAATTTTTTAATTTTTTTGGCTAAAATATGATATTAAAAAAATTAATATGTTTAGGATAACTTTTGAATTTTTTACAAAAAGATATGCAAAAATAAAGAGAAAATAGAATCTTTAATTTTTTGGTATAAATTATAGATTTTTTTGATTTTTTTAATTTTTAGGCTAAAAGTTTTACATGCCAAACGAGTACTAAAAATCAACTTAGTTAATATGATAAAATGTATATCTAAATTATAAATATTTCATTTTTCTTTTACAACCATCACATCTAAACAAAAAAAAACAAAAAAAATCAAAAGTTTATCCCAAATTAAACTTTTTTAACCAAACTTGGCCAAAAGTTTATCCCAACTTGTTTGGGATGACTTAAATAAGTGTACTTTTTGTCTTTTTACAAAAAGATGTTCAGAAAAGTAGAGAGGTGATGTGATGGAAAAAAGATAAAAAGATAAAAAGATGGATTATTTTATGATTGCCAAACTTGGCCAAAAAACTAGGTTAAATTAGTTTTTTCCAAAGGAAGGCTAAAAATCTTTATTTTTGTGTCAATTTTTAAGAAAAGGCTATGGTATGCATCTCTATATGCACCTCACTATAAATTGACGTAATTTTATCACAAAATTTGTAACATCAAGCACAAAATACGTAAGTTCATTACAAATTAACATAATAAAATGTTCAAAATTTTGTGGTTCATGTTACAAAAGTTTGTGGTTTGGTTAAGACATTTTTTATTACCTTAATTTGTGGCAAAGTTATGCATTTTATGATTGATGTTACGAAATTTTATTATAAAATTATTTTAATTTGTGATAAGGGTACATATGGTAAGAGGGTACACACCATATGTTTTCTCCCATTTTAATAATTTTTATTTATTAATAAAATTTTAATTTTTAATTTTTTATTCAATATATTTAATATTTGACTCATTTTAAATTTGTGATTTCACTCATTTTAATGATACGAAATTTATAAAAATTAAATATACATATTAAAAATTACGGAGTTGGCTCCTCTCTAGTCCGTTATTAGACTGGAGGGTAATGTTAGGCCATTTGAGGCCTTAATTCAAGCGCATCTAGATAATACAAACCATTTAATGTGTAGAATCCATCGAGTACATCATTCATGCAAAAAATCACAATAATCAGATATTAATAGTCACTTGATCATATCACATTTCTATCACAATTTATTTTGAAAATTATGCATGCCATTGACTGATCAATGTGATTTTTTACGGAAATGATGTACTCAACGAGTTCTACAAATTGAACAGTTTGGATCATCAAGATGGATCTGGATCAAAACCCACAACAATCGAACAACGTCTTCCAGTCCGATATTGAACTGAAGAAGAGCTAATTCCAAAAGTTATTTGAAATGTATAACATATAACAAAAATTACAAACATATATGATTATAGATAAAGTTGAAAGGAAAAGTTTTGAGGACAAAATTGGTATTTAAAAATATGAATGGTTTTATAGAGATGAGTGCTGCTATTAGTACTCCATAAATTATTTTGGACTCTCTAATTTTTAGCTTTTTTTATTACAATAATAACATCAAATAAAATTACTACAAATAGCATCATTAATTTTGGGTCATCCCATCTCACAATTAAATCTACACGCCCACTACATCATAAATTAGAGTTTATGAGAACACCCACATCCATTACCACCCATCCATCTTTCTCAAATCTTACCTTCAAAACTTACCTACCCTCAAAATCTTGAAAACCCTTTGGCGGCAATATTCCGGTGATAACGATGGCCACCATTTGATTGCCTACACTTCTCCGACAATGACAATAAGTAAAAATTTAAGGATAACTTTGGCAGCATATTAAGATTAAAGTCGTATTGAAATGCTGAAATGATTTTTATCAATTTAAATATGAAATAGAGAGCAAAAACAGAAGCAAATCTCATATTTTGTTGCCTCAGAAATAAACCCTAGTTCATACAGCGATATTATCAATCTGCATCACATTTATTTATTTATTTATTTAATCTTATTATTCACTGATCCATGAGTTTTCTAGGTTCTTTTCAAGGCAAGGAATTGTTAAAAAAAAAAAAACATTTCAATTCTCTTCTAAATTGCATGTACTAAAAATTCACAAAAGATCGACAAACTCTCTTTTCAAAAAGATTAAATAAATAAGTAAATAAGTTTTGATTTTGAATGACAAAAACAACATGAAGAAATTGTCAAATGCTAGACCAAGTTTTGGAAAAGAAAAAAAAAATCCACGCAATAGCAGATGGGAAAAACCACCACAAAATCCAAATTTAAAAAAACTTATTTTTGGGGGAGTGGGGGTATGCATTTAATGGGTGGAATGTTTAAAGATAATCTATACTATATATTAAGCAAAATGGGGTTTTTAACCCCAAGTCTTGTGGGAGCTCCAATCTCCCAATCTAAATTTCTTGATTTTTTGATTTAAAAAAAAAAAAAAAACTCAGCATTTATTAATTTCTGCCAACTCCCAAGTCTTACCCTCATAATAACACTTTAATGCATTAAGAACAAGCATAAAAAAAATTCTTTGAAATCCAATACATATGAATTCCTTGAAAAGTCCCAACACATATGATTATTATCCCTCGTAATAACACTTTAATGCATTAAGAACAAGCATAAAAAAAATTTCTTGAAAAGTCCAACACATATGGTTATTATCAAAATATTAAACTTTAATATAATATAATAAAAAAAGAAGACATTTAATTCCTTGAAAAGTCCAGCACATATGATTATTATTAAAATATTAAACTTTAATATAATATAAAAATGGAAAAAAAGAAGACATTTAAAAAAAAAAAAAAACATTTAAAAATCGTAATTTACATATGTAGATAATTGTAAATATATTAAGCATCTCTGATTAGCATTTAAAATCCCCTGATACAAATAATTATAGATACAGCTCGTGCATAGTTGCTGCAGTAGCTTTTTTAATTTCTCCTGTACACTATGGTTAGTGATAAGATTGTTAAATTATTTTTAAAAAAAATCTTAAAAAACATAATTTATCTATTAAAAAAAATTAAAACAAATATAAATATCTATAATTATCTCGTGCATAGCACGGGTGATAGGCTAGTACTATATATTAAGCAAAAGAGAGTTTTTAACCCCAAGCCTTGTGGGAACTCCAATCTCCCAATCTAAATTTCTTGATTTTTTGATTTAAAAAAAAAAAACCTTAGCATTTATTAACTTCTCCCAACCCCCAAGTCTTACCCTCATAATAACACTTTATTGGATTAAGAACAAGCATAAAAAAACATTCTTTGAAATCCAATACACATGAATTCTTTGAAAAGTCCCAACACATATGATTATTATCCCTCATAATAATACTTTAATGCATTAAGAACAAGCATAATTTTTTTTTTTGAAAAGTCCAACACAAATGATTATTATCAAAATATTGAACTTTAATATAATATAATAAAAAAAAACATTTAATTCCTTAAAAAGTCTAACACATATGATTATTATCAAAATATTAAATTTTAATATAATATAAAAAAGGAAAAACAGAAGACATTTAAAAATCGCAATTCACATATATAGATAATTGTAAACACAATCTGTGCATAACACGAGTGATATGCTAGTTTTGATATTATTTGGAGGGGGAAAGAAATTTTAAGAGTTTCAAAATTTATAAGTGGGGGTCTAAAGAAATAGGGGTCCAAAATAATTCATGAAATGTTAATAGCACCACTCTATAGAGATACTCCTCCATTTCTTATTATCTCTCTTGATTTGGAGGATCAATCCATACTCTCCTCCCAAATGGAGATGATTTTAGAGGATGTGTTGGAAGTAAAAATAAAATATATGAAGATGGAGACGGTGAGCTGAAAATGCTCTAACAAAGTTGCTATAAATGGAGAAATTTTAATTCAGGAATAATTTTAAAAAATAATTACAAATACATAACAAATTTTATAAATATGAGTAATTAAAAATATAAATTTATAATAGTTTTTTTCAACTATAATCTATAATTTTCTCATTATAATTTAGCAATAACAATTACGGAGTTGTAGAAAAAAAGTGTTTTTATTTTCTATCAAACTTTTCTTTTAAAGTCGTGCTAGCTAGCTGCCACTCAAGCAAGGAAATGAGTAAAAAAGTAGCAAACAAACTTGAGTGCAAAATGGGCCCTTGAGAATGAGATTTTTTTATTTTTTTTTAACGGCATTGAGAATGAGATTGATTTCTGTATGATTATGATTTCAACGGTAGAGAGGGAGGGCCCTATCTGCTTTATTCCCTGTTTGCTAGAGAACAGAGAGTACCATCCAAAATCACGTTCTTCATCCAAACTTGTTTGAAACAAAAACTTGCAGAGTTTCAAACTGCTCCTTAATTCTCTCTCTCTCTCTCTCTCTCTCTCTCTAATATTGCTCTGTTTCATACATTCCTTCCTGGGATCTTTTGCAGCAAAGACGAGTAGACATGGAAGTGGTGGGAATCTTCGTCTCTCCCTTGCTAAAAGCTGTGATTAACAAGCTGTTGTCCTCTGATTTAATCGACTTGGCACGTCAAGGGGGTGTCGACACTTCCATCAAGAAGCTGAAGAAGTCATTTGAAGATATAAATGATGTTCTTGCTGATGCAGAGGACAAGCAGATATCGGACAAGGCTGTCAATAAGTGGCTGAAAGAGCTCCAGCATTTGGCTTACGATGCGGACGATGTGTTGGACGAGTTTGGCACTGAAGTTCTACGCAAAAAGCTGATCATGGCAGATACTGATGTTGGTGAGGCCAGCACAAGTGGTAAGGTACGACGATTCCTCCTTCCTACTTGTTGCACTGGTTTTACTCCAACTGCGATTTCATTCAATTTTGCAATTCGGTCCAAGATAAAGAAGATCAATGGTCAGTTACAAGATGTTACTACAAGAATTAAGGAACTTGGTTTGGTCAAAAAGGCTATTGGGGGGACTCATAAGCCTACAAATGCGTGGCCGAGACGAGAAACCACATATTTGCTGGATGATCCTTTTGTTTGTGGCAGAGATGAAGATAAAAAACGGATTGTTGAATTGCTTCTTAGAGATACACCAACTCAAAACAAAGTCGATGTCATTCCCATCACCGGCATGGGTGGGATTGGCAAGACTACTCTGGCTCAACTCATTTATGATGATGATGGTGTCAAAAACCATTTCGATCTAAAAGCGTGGGTTTGTGTATCTGAGGAGTTTGATGTTAAGACAATAACAAAGGCAATTCTGGAGTCATTCACTCTCCAGTCATGCGATTTGACAAAGTTAACTGACCTTCAAAGTAAACTTGAGGTCATGCTGGCAGAAAAAAAGTTTTTGCTTGTTTTAGATGATGTGTGGAACCATAGAGATGAAGAGTGGAGTTCACTACAATCTCCATTGCGAGCTGGAGCACATGGAAATAAAATCATTGTGACAACACGAATCGCAGCTGTTGCGGAAAAGGTGATGACGATTAAATTTCACAATTTGCCAAGCTTATCACCTGATGTTTGCTGGTTAATATTTTCCCGTCATGCATTCAAGAATATAAATACTAGTGAACATCCAGAATTGGAATCAATTGGCAGGCAAATTGTTGCCAAGTGCGGAGGCTTGCCACTGGCAGCAAGGGCCCTCGGTGGCTTATTACAATGTAAACAAAATGAGCATGAATGGAAAATGGTACTAACTAACAATATATGGGATAAACCATACGAGGAAAGTGGCATTCTCCCAGCACTGAAATTGAGCTATCATCATCTCCCTTCCCATTTGAAGAGGTGCTTTGGTTATTGTGCAATTATCCCAAAGGATTACGAATTTGGGAAGGATGAATTAGTCTTGTTATGGATGGCAGAAGGTTTAATTGAACACCCAGAAGGTGGAGAACAAATAGAAGATGTAGGCTGCAGGTATTTTCACGAATTGGTGTCTAGGTCATTATTCCAATTGTCAAGGCATAATAAATTGCTATTCATAATGCATGACCTCATCAATGATTTGGCTCAAGCAGTTGCAGGGGACATCTGTTTTAGGTTGGAGAATAATTTAGAGGGTGGCAAGCAGAACAAGATTTCAGACAAAGCTCGACATTCATCTTTTGTTGGTAGTGAATATGAAGGAATTAGAAAATTCAAAGCTTTCGATGATGCCAGATGCTTACGAACCTTCTTAAGGTTTTCGCCGCGTGCATTCAACTACACAACAAGGTACTTGATTCATGATTTGTTGCCAATGCTAAAGTGCTTACGTGAGTTGCGTTTGTGTTATTCTGGGATAGATGAACTACCAGATTCCATTGGAGATCTAAAGCATCTACGGTACCTTGATGTATCCCTTTCTCGAATTAGGAAGTTACCTGATTCGGTGGTAACTCTCTACAATTTACAAGTCTTGTTTTTGAAATTTTGTTTTGCACTTGAGAAGTTGCCTCTAAACATGGGGAGGCTAGTGAACTTGCGCCACTTTGACATGACTGGAGTGCATATTCCATCATCAGAAGAGATGTCACTACATATAGGTAAATTAACTAATCTCCAAACATTGTCAAATTTTATGGTGGGTAAAGATCGTGGGCGTAAAATAGGAGAGTTGAAAAACCTATCACATATTCAAGGGGCAATACACATATCAAGAATGGAGAATGTCAGTGGTGTTAAGGATGCAGTGGATGCCAATTTAATGTCTAAGGAGGAGTTAAAAGAGTTATCACTAGAATGGAATGAATCTCGTAGTTCACAGAATGACATAGTTGAGAGGGATGTGCTTGACGTGATGAGGCCTTTCAAATTTTTGGAACGACTCACCATCAGTGGGTATCGTAGTACAAAATTTCCAAACTGGGTTGGAGATGTTTCATTCTCTAAAATGGTATTCATGCGATTAAAAGGTAGTAAATATTGCACATCTTTGCCACCACTTGGACAACTACCCGTGCTTAAAGACCTTTACATTGAAGGAATGAGTATAATAAAGCGCCTAGGTTGTGAGTTCTATGGGCAGCAGTGTGGTGCCAAACCTTTCCCCTCTCTAGAGAGACTGAGCTTTGAGTTTATGACAGAATGGGAGGATTGGTCTGCTTTTGAAACAGAGGGAGTTCAGCCGTTCAGTCATCTCAGTGAGCTTTCCATCATAAATTGTCCCAAACTTGTTGGAAGATTACCAAACGATCTTCCTTTCCTTAATTCTCTCAAAATTGATGGTTGTCCACAGTTGTTGATTGATGTTTCGAGCCTCGTTCAGCCATCACTTGCATCCTTGTCAATGAATAATGTTATGCTCCCAAGCCTTCCAGCACTCTTAGGGATGAAGAACACGATTGAACTTGGTTCCCTCACCTTGGATATTAGCCATGTTACAGTTCCCGACTCCCTCTGCGATCCAAGCACAATTGATGAAGAGTTACTGGCTACTGAAATGTCTAAGCATTTGACTTCAATAACTGCTTTGAGCATTTCTCATGTTGAAAAATTGGCGTTCCTACCGACATGGTTTACTCGAGATTTGATAAATATGCAATCTATACTTCAATTCTTCAAGATTCTACCAAGTTCCAAGCCAAACCCTCAAGCACAATACAATTCTCTCCCTCTCTCCCTCTAGGTCGGCAAGAACAAGGAATTGGGCCGATGAAGATGTTGCCTAAATATGTAATAAGGTTCACATGTGCTAATAAAGGACCCACTCACAATGGCAAAAAGGTAAATAAGTCAAACTCTTTCAATTAGCTCAATTTAATCTAATTTAATCATACCGAATCAGTTTTCAGATAAATATACCATAAAATCACATTAATTATGACGATCATAAAACATCAATCAATTCCCGGTTCGACCGCCGATAAGGCTTTCAATTAACAGTTTAAACATAAAACACGAACAGATCAAACAAACAGTCAACAGATAAAATGCAATTCAAACAGATGTATTCATTCAATTCAGTTTCAATTTCGGTCAGTCAGTTCAATACTTTACTCAGTTCAATTATCAGTCATAATCAGTTCAGTTTAACAGTAACCGGTGATTATCGGTAATCAATCAGTCATTAATCGGTAAACAGTATGAGGGTTGTTACACTTAAAGACCTTTACATTGAAGGAATGAGTATAATAAAGCGCCTAGGTTGTGAGTTCTATGGGCAGCAGTGTGGTGCCAAACCTTTCCCCTCTCTAGAGAGACTGAGCTTTGAGTTTATGACAGAATGGGAGGATTGGTCTGCTTTTGAAATAGAGGGAGTTCAGCCGTTCAGTCATCTCAGTGAGCTTTCCATCATAAATTGTCCCAAACTTGTTGGAAGATTACCAAATGATCTTCCTTGTCTCAATTCTCTCAAAATTGATCGTTGTCCGCAGTTATTGATTGATGTTTCGAGCCTCGTTCAGCCATCACTTGCGTCCTTGTCAATGAATTATGTTATGCTCCCAAGCCTTCCAGCACTCTTAGGGATCAAGAACACGATCGAACTTGATTCACTCACCTTGGATATTAGCCATGTTACAGTTCTCGACTCCCTCTGCGATCCAAGCCCAACTGATGAAGAGTTACTGGCTAATGAAATGTCTAAGCATTTGACTTCAATAACTGCTTTGCGTATTTCTGATGTTGAAAAACTGGTGTTCCTACCGACATGGTTTACTCAAGATTTGACGCGACTCGAGAAATTGGACATTAGTAACTGCCAAGAACTCTTAACATTGTGGCGGAATAAGGTGAGAATACAACTATGTCTCCCTGCCCTCTGCCATTTGAAGATTTCTTGTTGCCCCAAAGTCGTTTGCTTGTTTGAAGAAGAGCAAGAAAAAAAAGGAAAAGGTTCGAAAAAGTAGCAACATGAGGGGCTGCCTTGCATGACGAGACTCGAGTATTTAACAATTGAAGAGTGTGGAATGCTGAAGAAACTGCCACAAGATCTGCACACATACACATCTCTTGGGGTGTTTAGAATCTGCAATTGTGCAAGTCTGATCTCTTTTCCAATGAAAGGTTTGCCATCTATGCTGAGAGAACATGGGGTTTCAGGGTGTGATGCTTTGGAGTCCCTACCTGAGTTGATGACACTCAATAATCTGCAAGAGTTGAAGGTTTCTGAATGTGCATCACTCACATATTTATTGTCAAGAGATGGGCTACCATCCACACTAAAACAACTTTGGATTCGTTGGTGTGCAAAGCTGGAGTCACTTTTTGCAGAGGAAGAGATCAAAATTGATTGTCCATCTCTTGAAGATACTGAAATTACGCGTTGCAGCAGTCTCAAATCTTTACCTGAAGCCAATAATCTCAAGAATCTCAGTCAATTGCAGATATACGATTGTTATAATCTGGAGCCCCTGTCACTTGGTGGTCGTGATGAGAACAACAACATCAACCAACGCACTTCGCTTCAAAAGCTGTGTTTAGTTGATTGCAGAGCAGAAATGGTCTCCTACTTTGTCAAGGAAGGGAGTTTCCCCACCAACATCACTTCACTTGAAATCGGGAGGTTCAGAGTGGACGACGTGGGTCAACTTCCAGTTCCGCCTCCATCTCCATTAGAGTGGGGTTTGCACAAACTCTCTTCTCTTACAACACTCACACTTGATGGCCGAGGTTGGCCGCGGGGAGATACGGTGTCCTTTCCAGAAGAAGGGATGTTCCTGCCCACCTCTCTCATCAAATTGATCATCTTCAACTTCCCAAATCTGGAAAGACTCTCTTATGAGGAGTTTCAAAACCTCACCTCTCTTGAAAGACTTGAAATCTGGAGTTTCCCTAGGCTCGCGTCCTTTCCAAAGGAAGGGTTGCCTCCCTCTCTTTTGCATCTATGGATCTGGCACTGCCCTGAGCTTGCGACCTTTCCAGAACAAGGATTCCCTCCCTTGCTTTTGTCACTGTGGATCGTAGATTGTAATCCAATACTGAAACAGAAGTGTGAAAAGGGGAAAGAATATTGGCCCATCATCCAATACATTCCTCAAGTAGATTTCGAATAAGCAACCACCTGCAAGGTACAAACAAACAAACACAAAATCTGTCCTACCATTTTTATTTATTTATTTGTATTCTCATTACCAATTTCAGATTTTTATCACAAATGAGGATTTATTATATTTGCATCCTCTACCATCACAATATAAAAATTAAAAGGTACAATAAAAATAATAAATTTTAAATTTGATCTTATACATATCAAATAATTTGTTTTAGTTTAATATTTAAATTTTTATCAAACAACTTTTCAACTTACAAACAAGCAAACACAAAATTTGTCATACCTATATTGGAGCATGTATATATTTTATATATTAAATTATTAAATATATAATTATATTCTAATTTTTTTTTCTCTATTTAGTTAGTTGTAATATATTTGTTAAAATATGAATTTTTGTTGGAGATTGATATCAACTACAAATTGTTTTTATTAAATATAAATAAATGTTATGTAAATAGAAAGTACGATAATAAGTTTGAGTTGTTTTTCTTTTATTTCTTTAAGATTTGTATGCTTGAGAGATTCAATCTCACTTGAAAGGGAGTTTATTCCTAGAAATGAGCGAGTTTCTTGTTGGTTTCTTATTTGAAAGCATGGAATTGCGTTTCTTAGTAAGCTATGAAGCATAGGTATTTCGAAAAGCATGTCGTACCTGTACCAAGTATTTACTGGCATATAGTATCTCGCATAGTCTGATCTCTTTTCCAATGAAAGGTTTGCCATCTATGCTGAGAGAACTTGAGGTTTCATAGTGTGATGCTTTGGAGTCCCTACCCGAGTTGATGACACTCAATAATCTGCAAGAGTTGAAGGTTTCTGAATGTGCATCACTCACATATTTATTGTCAAGAGGTGGGCTACCATCCACACTAAAACAACTTTGGATTCATTTTTGTGCAAAGCTGGAGTCACTTTTTGCAGAGGAAGAGATCAAAATTGACTGTCCATCTCTTGAAGATATTGAAATTACGCGTTGCAGCAGTCTCAAATCTTTACCTGAAGCCAATAATCTCAAGAATCTCAGTCAATTGCAGATATACGATTGTTATGATCTGGAGCCCCTGTCACTTGGTGGTCGTGATGAGAACAACAACATCAACCAACGCACTTCGCTTCAGAAGCTGTGTTTAGTTGATTGCAGAGCAGAAATGGTCTCCTACTTTGTGAAGGAAGGGAGTTTCCCCACCAACATCACTTCACTTGAAATCGGGAGGTTCAGAGTGGACGACGTGGGTCAACTTCCAGTTCCGCCTCCATCTCCATTAGAGTGGGGTTTGCACAAACTCTCTTCTCTTACAACACTCACACTTGATGGCCGAGGTTGGCCGTGGCGAGATACGGTGTCCTTTCCAGAAGAAGGGATGTTCCTGCCCACCTCTCTCATCAATTTGACCATCAACGGTTTCCCAAATCTGGAAAGACTCTCTTGTGAGGAGTTTCAAAACCTCACTTCTCTTGAAAGACTTGAAATCTGGAGTTGCCCTAGGCTCGCGTCCTTTCCAAAGGAAGGGTTGCCTCCCTCTCTTTTGCATCTATGGATCGGTCACTGCCCTGAGCTTGCGACCTTTCCAGAACAAGGATTCCCTTCCTCGCTTTTGTCACTGTGGATCGTAGATTGTAATCCAATACTGAAACAGAAGTGTGCAAAGGGGAAAAAATATTCGAGCAAGGATCCTCTAGAGTGATTTTTCTCTAAAGTTTTCTAGAGTGCTCTATTGTGTGGTTGAGATTTATTGGCAAGTCACATCAATTTTTCTGATGTGACTTGCCAGTAAATCTCAACCAGAACACTTTAGGAAAATTTTACTCTAGAGGATCCTTGGTGAAAATATTGGCCCATCATCCAATACATTCCTAAAGTAGATTTGGAAGTATAAGCAGCCACCTGCAAGGTACAAACAAACAAACACAAAATCTATCCTACCATTTTTATTTATTTATTTGTATTCTCATTACCAATTTCAGATTTTTATCACAAATGAGGATTTATTATATTTGCATCCTCTACCATCACAATATAAAAATTAAAAGGTACAATAAAAAATAATAAATTTTAAATTTGATCTTATACATATCAAATAATTTGTTTTAGTTTAATATTTAAATTTTTATCAAACAACTTTTCAACTTACAAACAAGCAAACACAAAATTTGTCATACCTATATTGGAGCATGTATATATTTTATATATTAAATTATTAAATATATAATTATATTCTAATTTTTTTTTCTCTATTTAGTTAGTTGTAATATATTTGTTAAAATATGAATTTTTGTTGGAGATTGATATCAACTACAAATTGTTTTTATTAAATATAAATAAATGTTATGTAAATAGAAAGTACGATAATAAGTTTGAGTTGTTTTTCTTTTATTTCTTTAAGATTTGTATGCTTGAGAGATTCAATCTCACTTGAAAGGGAGTTTATTCCTAGAAATGAGCGAGTTTCTTGTTGGTTTCTTATTTGAAAGCATGGAATTGCGTTTCTTAGTAAGCTATGAAGCATAGGTATTTCGAAAAGCATGTCGTACCTGTACCAAGTATTTACTGGCATATAGTATCTCGCATGATGCTTCTGCATACGTACCAGGTACACAAAACATGTACCTAAAATTTTTCTTCTTAATTTTTGACATACCCAGGCGTACCTAGTATATACCCAAGCCGTACCGTACCTTAGTTAAAATAATATATTCTTTTACTACATAGATAAAACTCATTTCACTAGAATTCTTTTTTTATTTTTAGCTTTATGGTTGGTATGATTTTAAAATTAAACTATTGTTTGTAAATTATTTAATATATTGACATTTAATTTTGATTTATACGTTTATTTTTTGCATTAAATGTTAATTATATGTTGGATCTTAACAAATTAAACCATTTAATTAATTTCTACATTACTCTAAATTAAAAATAAATATTTTTTTTACAAGTGTACCAAGCCGTACATGCCTTGCAAGAAGGGATTTTTTTTTTTTTTTTAATATCAAGTTGTATTTTTAAACCATCCTGCTTGCATGCTGGATTACATTTGACAGTTACAAAGCCACACGTAATCTTGTCAAAATCCATGGGGGTAATCTGTTCTAGTAGCTGGAGGGATTTAGGCTTCCTTTATTAAAGGGGAGTTGAGAAGCCATCTACCCTACTTGGAGTATTATTTAGAATTCAAATCCAAGGCAAATATGCAAAAAAATATAGGAAACTATTAGAAATTGGCATACTGTATAGAGTTTTTGTGTTTGTTTGTTTAAATTTACATGTTGATTTGTTTAGACTTGTCATGAAGTGGGTGATATGGAAAACAATAAGAAGAAAACATAAGGGGAAGTTCATCTAATAGTAACAAATAGTTCTCTAATCTTTGATAAAATCGGGTTCTTTTCCGGATGGGGTTGACCAAAGACTAAAGTATCTTAGCAGACACTAGCGAGAAATCCTCGCTACTTTGCCACTTCAAAAATCTTCTGGCAAACTCCAAAACATGAAATATTAAAAAATGTTTGGAATGAGAGTCAAGCTTTAGATATATTTATTCTACTAGATCATAGGCTATTTAAAAAATAGTCGATTACGCTGTTCAAGCTTGGTGCCACATTAGGAAGATATTGCTCATAGTTTGTATTTGCCTAAATGTTATTCATCAGTAAAGGGATAAGTTTGTCATTCATCAATAAAGGGATCAGTTTTGGCTTGAAAATGTAAGGTAGAATATCAGCTTCCAAATCTTATACTGTTTCTGAAATTACAAAAGAACCTGTATAATGCTTTCAAAAATGGTATTACGACAAAACATGCCAGTATCAATTTCTAGTTGTCTGTAATTTTTAATCTTATCTTTTGAAACCAAACTTTTTCTTAGCTACTCCAACAGGTAAAATAGGAAATGACTTCTTAAAAGGTCTCAGAAGATAACATGGGATGAAATAGCTTAATTCTAAAAAAAATGAAAGGACTTCCAAGTAATGATAGTTAATGAAATGATAAAATTTGGCCCTTTACTTGTGGTTTCCTCTAAAAGAGCTTGAGCTTGGTTGCAATTTCAATTTATTTTTTGTTAAGCAAATTTGCTTGCCTTCTAGGATATAATTAATTTTCACTACAATTGTGTTCATGTATATTACTTTGAACATCTTATCAACTTATGGATTTGTTTCCATATCTTGCAGTACGTTTTTGAGGATGCTTGCAACTTTGCAGGAGAATATGGAGGTTTGTTATGGAAAGACTCAAGATAGATGGCAAAGAAGGCAGAAATACTAGTGCACATCTGAGAATTCCCACATGATCAAAGGCAATAGAAAGCACAGAAAAGGAAAGAAAGAAGCAAAGAAGAGAGAAATTGTACATAGTTGCTTTTTGGCTATTTAGCTTGGTAAGATGGGATTTTAATAAAGCTCTTTCAGCTAAGCAAGGTTGGCGGTTGCTTACTATCCAAATTCAAATTTTCTAAATCTTGGCTTTGGGGAGAGCTACAATTTTGAATGCAATGGGTCGCTATTTTTTGAGTTTTAGAATTATCATGGGTTTTTTTTTTTAAATTTCTTTTCAGAATATATTCATATACTATTGTCTAGTCATGGCGAAAGCTCTCATAAGTAATAAAGGAGCAAGAGATATATGAAGAAAATTGAGAATAAAGTCCTTTCCTGAGACTGCAATTGTAAACGCCTCCCTATTGCACATTGTCATGCAAGACTTTCGATCATTAAGACTTCCATGCCTTGCAAGAAGGGATTTTTTTTTTTTTTAATATCAAGTTGTATTCTTAAACCATCCTGCTTGCATGCTGGATTACATTTGACAGTTACAAAGCCACACGTAATCTTGTCAAAATCCATGTGGGTAATCTGTTCTAGTAGCTGGAGGGATTTAGGCTTCCTTTATTAAAGGGGAGTTGAGAAACCATCTACCCTACTTGGAGTATTATTTAGAATTCAAATCCAAGGCAAATATTCAAAAAAATATAGGAAACTATTAGAAATTGGCATACTGTATAGAGTTTTTGTGTTTGTTTGTTTAAATTTACATGTTGATTTGTTTAGACTTGTCATGAAGTGGGTGATATGGAAAACAATAAGAATAAAACATAAGGGGAAGTTCATCTAATAGTAACAAATAGTTCTCTAATCTTTGATAAAATCGGGTTCTTTACCGGATGGGGTTGACCAAAGACTAAAGTATCTTAGCAGACACTAGCGAGAAATCCTCGCTACTTTGCCACTTCAAAAATCTTCCGGCAAACTCCAAAACATGAAATATTAAAAAATGTTTGGAATGAGAGTCTTAGCTTTAGATATATTTATTCTACTAGATCATAGGCTATTTAAAAAATAGTCGATTACGCTGTTCAAGCTTGGTGCCACATTAGGAAGATATTGTTCATAGCTTGTATTTGCCTAAATGTTATTCATCAGTAAAGGGATAAGTTTGTCATTCATCAATGAAGGGATCAGTTTTGGCTTGAAAATGTAAGGTAGAATATCAGCTTCCAAATCTTATACTGTTTCTGAAATTATAAAAGAACCTGTATAATGCTTTCAAAAATGGTATTACAACAAAACATGCCAGTATCAATTTCTAGTTGTCTGTAATTTTTAATCTTATCTTTTGAAACCAAACTTTTTCTTAGCTACTCCAACAGGTAAAATAGGAAATGACTTCTTAAAAGGTCTCAGAAGATAACATGGGATGAAATAGCTTAATTCTAAAAAAAATGAAAGGACTTCCAAGTAATGATAGTTAATGAAATGATAAAATTTGGCCCTTTACTTGTGGTTTCCTCTAAAAGAGCTTGAGCTTGGTTGCAATTTCAATTTATTTTTTGTTAAGCAAATTTGCTTGCCTTCTAGGATATAATTAATTTTCACTACAATTGTGTTCATGTATATGACTTTGAACATCTTATCAACTTATGGATTTGTTTCCATATCTTGCAGTAAGTTTTTGAGGATGCTTGCAACTTTACAGGAGAATATGGAGGTTTGTTATGGAAAGACTCAAGATAGATGGCAAAGAAGGCAGAAATACTAGTGCACATCTGAGAATTCCCACATGATCAAAGGCAATAGAAAGCACAGAAAAGGAAAGAAAGAAGCAAAGAAGAGAGAAATTGTACATAGTTGCTTTTTGGCTATTTAGCTTGGTAAGATGGGATTTTTATAAAGCTCTTTCAGCTAAGCAAGGTTGGCGGTTGCTTACTATCCAAATTCAAATTTTCTAAAGCTAGCTTGAGGAGTAAACCATTGACATTGTTTAGAGGAGTATTTGGAGTGCAAAGTATTTTTTGGAGGCTGCGCTGCACTGGCATATTGGGAATGGAAGGTCTATGAAGATTTGGAAAGATATATGGATTCCAAGGCCTTACTCTTACAAACCTATTTCTGTTACAAAATTCTTGCATGTTGATGCTAAGGTTTGCTCTCTCATTTATGAAGTTTTCATCAAACAGTGCTTTTTTTGTTTGGATTTTGAAGTTGAGTTGATATGTAAAATCCCACTTTGCCCAAGGCTTGCTTATGATATACTGGTTTGGTGCTTTACTAAAAATGGCCTTTTTTTCTGTTTAGTTGGCATATCATTTGGAGATGGTTTTGTGAAGCAGAGAAACACAAGTCAGGTCAGATGCTGGGAGTTTTGAAAGGGCATTTTCAAAAAAGATTTGGTTGCTGAAATTTCTGCATAAAGTGAAAATCTTTGCATGGAAAACATGTTCGAATATCCTTCATGTTCAATCAAAGTTGAGGAGGTGCAAATTAATTCAATTCAATGACTGTTATTTCCCTTTTGCTGCAGAAGTTTGGCCATTAAGCCCTCTTTACTCTGTTCTAACCATGCCCTGCTTAAAATTTTCTATTCTTGATCTAGGAGTTTAGCCAAAAGATGGATGTATCGCCTTTGAGATTATTCTTTTTTCATTTGCTAGAGTATTTGGAACAATCACAATGATTGGGTTTTTTGCTTGGTATGTGGCTGATTACTTACAAGGTTATAACAATACATAGCTCAAGGTGGCGACTCTTGTTTAAAAAAAAAGATCTTTCTGTTGGGAAAATGGTTTATAGCCATGAGGTTTTGCTAAATTTGGAGCCAAAATTAAGTGGAACCCACTTATTATTTTTGGTCGATCCAAAGGCAAAGTTGTTCATTGCTATGTGAAGATAAATATTATGTATTTGGTTGGTGAAAACCATTTACGGGTGAATGAGAAATCGACGCCAAAGTGAGCCATTGGAAATGACTCATGTTGGTGGGTTTCTACGTTTGTTGTTATTCCCTTGTCCCACATAGGAAACAAGAAGGAAGATGAAAGGATTTACATAATCTAAGTTTCTAGAAAGGCTTGGGCACTAAGGGCACCCAAGTTTTGTAGAGGGGGAGGGCCTAGACAAAGCTAACCCTACTGGTGACCACCATACCCACTGGCTCAGATCTGGGTTGGGTCAAGGTTGTGCGTTGGGTCAAAAGATATTTGTGTATATATTTTTTGCAAGGAATTTTTTTAATTATTTTTTTCAAATTCCCTCCAGTTTTATTTCTTCTTCTTCCTGAACAGGTGTGTCTGTTCAGATTCAAACGAAAAGTTTTCAATGGCAACCCTTTGCCATTGTTGCACTAGTTTGGACCTTTCCGAACAGGTTCCTAACAGCCTATATAAAGGCAACCCATTTCCAGAATTTATTAATTCAATTCCATCCTGTTTTTTTGTCCTCTCTTGCATTATTCTTCATATTAGTTTTTGAGAGAATTAAGAGAGTTACAAAACATAGGTTCTGATTCGCTGTGCAGAATTGAGTGTAGTGCTGCTTCAATATTGCAAAGATCATTGTATCTTGAGAGATAGATGCCATCATACCGTAAGCACTTGTACGGTGGCGAATCTATCTTAAAGACAGAGTGTCATACACTCGACTTGATCATCAACTTTGTTAAATATGTTTTCGGTAAATAAATTCTGTAAGAAAATTTATTTTATTTGTTTGACTTGTTTCTGTTTTTCTTATTATACACAGAAGATTGTTCTAACAGTTTCCAATTGTAAAATATATTTTTATGTATTTTCTAAGTGTTTTGTGAAGAAAATAATAGAAAGGATATGTGGACAGTTTAAATAGCGAAATCAACTAACTATTTTTGTTATTACCTTTTTGTTCTAAAGGGCTTTATTGTTGTGGAAACAAACTTTTGGATGTATTCATAATCATTGTCTACACTACATTGCAAGATTTTGTGCTCTTCTCAAGGTACTTTGGATGTTCTAATTTAAATTAAGGCTTCCTGTCTTTGTAGAAAACTACAACTTTAAATGGAATGGGTTGTTATTTTACGAATTATAGAAATGTCATGAGGTTTTTTATTAAATATATTGATTTACTTTTATCCAGTCATAGTGAAAAATCTCGTATATGATAAAGGAATAAGAGATATATCAAGCAAATTGACAACGAATTTCTTTCCACAGACCACAATTGAAAATCTTCCCTAAGACACGCATTTAGGCAAGACTTTTGATAATTTAGACTTCCACGCCTTTGCAAGAAGCAAAACTTTGTATAATATCACGTTGTGTTTTTAAACCTTTCTCCTTGTATGCTAGACAACATTTGACAATTATGAAGCCACCTAGTTTTGCCTACAACACACTTTTTGTTTAATATATTCTTATAGAGTTTTTTTTTTTCTTCTTCAAAATTACATGTTGATCTGTTTAAACTTGTTGGGGAGTGGGCGACATGACAAAGAACAAGAAGAAATCAAAAGGGGAAATTCATTTAATAGTAATAAATGGTCTCTTGATAAAAATGGTTTTCTTTTCCAGATAATGGGGTTGACCAAAGACCAACATCTTAAACACTGAAGAGAAATCCCTGGTTGCTTTGTCCCTCCAGAATTCTTTTGGCAAACTCCAAAACATGACATGGTAAAAATGTTTGAAATGAGAGACTTTCCCTTTGGATACATTTATTCTACTAGATTGTTAGATATTATATATATATATATATAAGAGAGAGTTGCAGAGCAGGAAAGAGAGAGCTGGAGATGGTGAAAAGGGGAGAGAGAGAGAGAGAGAGAGTAGTGGAAGTGGGAAGAAGAGGGTTATACGATGTCATTTTGTTTATAATATCATATTCCTATGTTTTTGTAATAAAGTTTTAATTGTCCAAGGAAAAAACAATTTGCAATCTTCTCCCATTAATTTGGTAATGTAACAGTTTGTTTTGGGTGATCGCTCGAACGGTCATTTGGTCGCTCAAGCGTAGATGCGCAACTCCCAGTATCTTCCATGTTGTAGGCGAGACTGCTCGAGCAATGGAGTGGTCACTCGAGCGTAGAATCCAAGCTCCCAACATTTTTACTGTAGCTCTGCAAAACTTCTGGAACATTGCATTTACCACTTGAGCGGTGAAAAGTTTGCTCGAGTGGCCTGGTCAGGACATCTCACTTAAAAGTCGATCAAACACTTTTTTTTCTCACTTTTTCCAATTCTTCTCTCTCTCTAGCACCCTTATTCTGAAACCCTAGCCCTAAACACTTGATTTGCCTTGATTTCTAGCAAGATCCACCTTAGATCTTCAAAGAGGGTTGAAGAACAAGCCTAGATCAAAAGCATTATCGATTTTTTTCTCATTTCTGGAGGCTTGAAGTTAGGTATTCATCATTTGCCTTCAATCTTAAGGTAGGGATACTTTAAACTTGATATATTTATGATTTGATATATATATATATATATATGATATTTGTTTAGTTATAGTAATGTATGAGATGATTTTGTGATATAAAGTGAGTTTGTTGAATAAAAAGAGATTTTCCCCATGTTCCAAAAAAAATTATGCATATCCTACTTAATTATTGTTAGAAATTGTGAATATTGACTTTTTATGTGTAAAGGAGGGAAAAGCCCCATTTTTTTTTTTTTTCTAAAATCCCTAATTTTCAAATTTGATTTAATGATGGGTTTGGACAAATTGATTCTTAAATCTTGAAATTGGTTGAATGATTATGGAAATGGTGTTGACACGTGTGGTTATTGAATTTTTTTGGATACATGTATCAAAATAAAGGAATATTGAGATTGTGGAAAATGGTGGGATTGCAGAAAAACTTTATTGTTGATACAATTAAATGTTGTCGTGAATTGAATAAACCTTAGGGAAATCGGACATGAAAACTCATGCATCATGTGCATTATAATTTCCTCATGTGACTTTTCAATCTTGTGGATGTTTGGAAGATGTCAAGGGGGTAAATAGCATATGAGTCTGGCTAGTTGAGTCAGATTTTGGGAATTGAGTTGTGTGTTGTATTTGGTACTCGCGAGGGGAGTCAAGGTGCCCAATTGCCCTGTCTTCGCATATCGCTGGACAAATGTGGGAAAGGTTTTTGGGTGTTCACGAGTCTTCCATTTATAGAGTTAACGAATGTGGAAAAAACTTGATTTTTGCATGTGCACAAGCCCACCATTTCAGGAGTCGACAAAATTGGAGAGGGAAAGGTTTGAGGTGCCTATCGCCCCTCCGTTATTAGAGTCGACAAATGTAAAAATATTTTATGTATACCAATCTATATATGTATGTATAGTTTTGTGGCTCTTGCTTGGGATGTCATAGCGTATTTACCACCCCATGTTTGTAGACGAGACTTTGAATGTAAATCATGCATTGAACATTTTTGGTTTTAAAAGAGAAAATATGGATTTCATCCTAACAAGTGCATGGCATGATCATATGCATCTCAATTATTTATATGTCTTGTTAATAGTATTTCCTATTGGGCATTAGCTCACCCCCACTAACAACATTTCAGGAATTAATGGTGTGACTCCGCCCAAGTGACAAGGCAGTGAAAATTTTGAATGGAGCACATGGGCATATTGGATGTTATTTGTTGAAGCTTCGAGCTAATGTGTGCTGGGACTGAATGTCCACCCTTTTGTGTAACCAAGTGGCTTCCCTTGAAACTTGTACGCCATTGGGGCATCTTTATTTTTGTGAACTATAACTTGTATCGTGAACATAAGATGTAATAGTTTAATATAGTTCAATGAGAACGAGATTTACTTAATGAGAGATAATATTTTTCTTAAAGCATTATCTTACGAGAAATGGATTTATTTGATGGAAACCGGTGAATATTTAATAAGAATTGACTATATAAAGGTTTATAAATTTTGGGGCGTTACAAAGACACCCTACACCTTAACATAGGGTAATAAGGCTGTGATACCACTAGAGATCTGGGTCACTACCCTCAGAACTCTTGCCCTCAATACAGGGTGAAATGACATGATTCTTGTACTCGATCCGGATCTAATTAAAGATCAAAGAGATTTGGCACTAATCAACTAGCCCGATATCAACAACAACTCTCCAAGTCTTATAACAGAAATGTTCAGATTCGCAAATACACTCTAAGAGAATTAGTGATGAGGAAAGTACTTCCAAACACCAGGAATCCGGCAGATGGAAAGCTCTCACCGACTTAGGAAAAACCATATCAAGTCAATGCAATTGTAGGAGAAGGGGCTTATAGACTCTCCGACATGATAGGCAATAAGATCCCAAGGCCATGGAACTCTTCTAACTTACGAAAGTTTTGTCACTGAGCTGTAATACCTAAACTGTGAGTAATAGCCTCGCTTATGCAAACATGAGTCTCATTTAGGATTCATACTTATGTTTGAATAATATTTTTTTGTTGAAAAAAATAGTCCTCAACGTGTTCTTAGAGTGTCCTCAGCGTGTCCCTAACGTGTTCTCAGAGTGTTCCTAACATGCACTTAGCATGTCCCAACGTGTCTGCACCGTGTCCCAAGTGTCCCAGTATGTCTGACTCTTTCCAGCGTGTCAGACACCTGTATATGACCTCAGAAGAGGTGTCTGTACTTCATAGTATGCTTTATTTGTTTTGTATTCTTTTTTTGATAAATAGTTTTCTTTTCTTTTCTTTTTTTTATTTGGGTGGTTTTTGTTTTTTGTTTTCTTGGTAAGTATGTTTGCATGTGTGTGTGGATATGTGTGAGGTGGCAGTAGTTGATAATAAATAGAGTTTTTAAAGTTATAATTAATGGTGAAATCTTGCTCCTTTTCTTTTGTTGATCAATGTGAAATCTTGCTTTCTTTGAAAGCCCTGAATGGGATGCTCTAACCTGCTAGAATGTGGATGACTTGGATGGCTACATAGGACTAACTTTACGACTTATATGTAATATGTCAATATTACTGCTCAAATACCATGTGTTCTACCAAATATATTTTTACATTTTCTATATTCTCTAAGGTGTAGAACGGAAGTATAAATGTAGCCCAATTTTTGTTCTTATATAAATCTAGCCATAATTTTTTCGTTATTTACAGGGGCCAAAAAAAAAAAAAAGATTTGTTTGTTTGTTTATTGGTTTGTTTGTTCTATTAGAATATAATTTGCTTCTTTGAAATTTGACCCTTTGTATTTTTAGATAATTTATTTTCTTCTTGTTAGGTTTTTATTCTTGGCAATCCCGTTTGACAAAACTCTTTTCAGTTGTAATTTTATTCAGTCTTTTATTTCAGTGAGGCTAAGAGTTTTAGATGCGAATCCAACCCGAATTATGCCCTGCAGAGATGTTTCAGAAGTTAATTCTTTCATGTTTGCCACTTCGCTGACTATGGCAGGGATCGAGCGGCCATTTGTGCACTCGAGCGGAGAATGTTTGGTTCCAGAAGTTTAACCTGTCTGTAAAAGTACTGGAAGTTTGGATTTTACACTCAAGTGAACTTTTCTGCGCTCGAGCGGCCATTCCTACGCTTGAGTAGAGAACACAATTCAGTTTTCTATAAATATGTGTTTTAGTTAGATTTTAGGGTACGGCTTCCAGATCTTCTTTGAGGGTTCTAGGGTTTTCCTCTGGGGCTATTTTGCTAGTTTTTTTTTTTATTTTTTTTTTATGTTTAATTAAGTATTTAACTCATGGTTTAAAAAGTATACATCAAAGGATTGTTTGTTTATTCTATACAAAAGAGAGAGTTGTTCCTCGGTGGATTCCATGGAATTTGGGCCTGAAGCTTTGGTAGATTCTGGAGTGGCTCATTGTTGTGGATTCGACATTGGCGTTGTGAATTCAACGTTGGGCAAGACGATTCCAAGGTGAAGACCGTGGTGGAAGAGGCATATAGGGGTCGGTTTAATTCGGACGTGGATTCGCTAGGTAATTAAGAGTACACTTGTGTAATTCCTTTTGTCTTCTTAGTGGATTGTTTTGTGGCTTTGGCCCGTGATCTTTTTATCACAATTGGAGGCGCTCCAATTGTGATTTTTCCACGTTAAAATCGTTGTGTTGATTTGTCTTGATTGATTGATTGGGATTGTTATTTACTGCTTAAAATTGATACATAATCACAAATCAATATCCAGGGGATTTCTAAATTTTTCAATTGGTATCAGAGCAGGTCGCTCTATCTTTTTTTAAAAATCTTTTAGAACAAGATCTTGTTTGATTTGTGATAATGGATTGAATTCGTGAGGAAAATTCTATGGTTCGACCACCTCTACTTGACGGATCCAATTATTCGTTTTGGAAAGCTCGAATGAGATCATTTTTAAAATCTATTGATGAAAAAGTTTGGCAATCTGTCATTTATGGGTGGACCGAACCGACGATCATCGTTGATGGAATAACTTTTCCCAAACCAATTGATAAGTGGGACACAATTGATTACCAAAATAGTAGCTGGAATAGAAAAGCTATCAATTCTCTCTTTTGCGCCGTCACACCTGAAGAGTTTAGTCGTATTTACAATTGTGAAGTCACAAAAGAGGCTTGGGATATCTTACAAACTATTCATGAGGGCACTCCTTCGGTTAAACGCTCAAAACTTCAAAGGCTCACGTCTAGTTTCAAAAACCTTTCAATGAAAAATAGTGAGACCTTTGATGAATTTTATGCGAAGTTGAGTGACATTGTAAATTCCAGCTTCAATTTAAATGAAAAAATACATGAATCCAAGGTTGTGGGAAAAATTTTGAGGCCCTTGCCCGATCGGTTCCAACCAAAAGTTACAGCAATTGAGGAGGCTCAAGATGTTGACAACCTCATGTTGGATCATTTGGTTGGAAATCTCCAAACTTATGAGGCACATAGAAATTTCAAAAAGAAACAAAAAGACGATATTACTTTGAGTAGGGCTCATACAATTGAAAAGGATTCTGATGAGGATTGTGAGATTGACTCCAAGATTACGGATGCTGACTCCAAGATTACGGATGCTTTTGTAAAACAATTTGAAAAGTCTTTTCTGAAAAAGAATCCTAATCTTTTGGAGTCAACTCATAAATCCAAAGGCAAAGATAAATTCAAAATTAATTCTATAACCCAAAAAAAGAAAGGAAAGATACAAGGGAACTCTGAAAGAGTCCAATGCTATGAATGCCAAGGATTTGGCCACTTTGCTCAAGAATACCCTACTCGTTTGAGGAAGAAGAAAGCCCTCGCTATCACCTGGGATGATGAATCAAAAACTGATAAAGATGAAAATGACAACAAAGATCAAGGTGAAGAGGGACATGAACAATTTCTTGCTTTCATGGCAGCTTCCGAAACTGAAGGACGAATAGAGTATTCAAAGAGGCCGGTTGAGAATGCCACTGATAATGAATCCTCGGAGAATGATGACGAAGAACTTCAGCAATCTTATGAAAAGTTGTATAAGGAATTTCTTAACTTATCCAAATTAAATGACAAGCTCACTACTAATAATGAGTGGTTCCATTTCACTTGGAATGCTGATATTGTTTTTCATCTGCTTCATGAGTACATTCGCCTACTCCACCAAATACAGATACACCTCCATGAGCTTCGACAATATTGTTAACCCTAAAGAGGACAACTTCCTCAGTCTGTTACAAACCTGCAGTTGCAACTTGTAAAACTGTGCTTTTCAATATTTCTTCAATGATTTGTTGAAAATTTAAATAGAAAAATGTACTGACTATTGTATTTGATTCTTTGTTCTCAGGGCTTTCTTGTTGTGGAAAAAACTTTAGGATGTATGCATGGTCATCGTCTAAACTGCATTGCGAGTTTTTGTGCCTCTTCTCAAGGTATGCCAGAAATTTGCTTGAGTACTTTGGATGCTCTATTCTAAAATAATGTTGTATCCATTAATGTTGAAAACTCTCATGGGTGATAAAGGAATAAGAGATAGAAAAAAAAAATGATAAAAGGAGTAAGAGATATATCAAGATAATTGAGAAGCCCTTTCCATAATTAAAAAAAACCTCCCTCCAGCACACTCTTAGGAAAGACTTTTGACCATTTAAATTACCAGACCTTACAAAAAATCACTTTGTGTTTTCAGGCCTTACTCCTTGCATGCTATTCTACATTTGACAGTTAGTAAGCCACCTCGTCTAGTCAAAATCCATGTGGGCAATCCATAGTTACTTTGCCACTCCAAAAATGACAATATGGAAGAATAATTGAAAAGCCTAGCCCACACTTTTCCTTAAAACTCAGGTATGAAGGAGAGGGAAACTAGAGTCTTATAACCAACATAGATGGGGCAACTTCAGGCGATATGGGACACATTCCAACACCTCCCTAGACCATAACATACAGTAACTGGACAAACGGCATACCAGTTACAGGCCCAGCCAAGCTCTGATACCAAATTGAAAAGTCCAACCCACACTTTTTAAAACCCAGGTATCAAGGAGAGAGAAACTGGAGCCTTATAACCAACATAGATGGGGCAACTCCAAGCGATATGGGACATATTCCAATAAGAATTGGTCATTTCATCTTTTACTTGATAGAGTAGCTAAGACTTTACAATAATAGTTAATAAAATGATGAAGTTTTTGGGATAAGGTAGGATATTTGGCTTCGCTTTGGCTTTTGTGTCTAGACCTTTCAAAATAAATAGATAAATAAAATGATGAAGTTTGGTCCTTTTTCCTTTAAGTGAACTTGAGTTTGGTTGCTAATTTCAATTTATTTGTTATTAAGCAAATTCGCTAGCCTTCTCATCTCCACTACAATTGTGTTCATGTATATTACTTTGAACCTCTTGTCAACTTATGGTTTT